AAAAAGAAAAGAAAAATCTTTAGCAATTATCAACTATTGATACATTTGTTTCAACGATAAAAAAAAAAGAAAGAAAACCTCGGAAATCACTATTCAAGTAGGTTCGAAAGGCAATAGAAGAAAATTTTTCTTTCGTCGTCGATATTTTTGTTTATTTTGTATGATGATATTAAAAGAAAAACTTATACATTTGTCATTATATCTTTAATTATAAACAAATTGACTGGAAGTTTCACTGCATGTCATCTAACTAATTGCATGAAAAGAAAATCGAGACGATAAAGAACTGTTAGATCCATATATGTATATATTTAAGGATAAATGTGTCAATCCTAATATTATTACTATTATTGAATAAAAAAAAAAATCAATAAAGTATATCAACTTTCTTCTTATATGTAAGTATTTGAGTACATTCACGTAGTCATTTCATCTCCAGATGATGATGATTTCCGGTAGAGTAACATATAACAATAGGTTGATGGTTCGCTTGATAACACATTTCTTTCTTTTTTTTTCCCGTGCATATGTTCGGAGATGTTAGCAGTACGCTATGTACGCATACAATTGAATGTCGATCAAACGAGTAATAAAAACATCAGTGGTGTCTACTTCTATCGCTTTTTCCATATCGTGGATTGATGATGTAGTCTTATTCTATATTGATTAGAAAAGAAGGTACCGACCTAGTTCGGGTTTTTTTTTCTTCTGTATATCTTATGTACTTCCATATTTTATGGATATTGAATTGTATCCATCTGCACATTGATCTCGTTGTTCTTGAGTGTCCCAAAAGAAAACATTGACTTTTTATGAATACTAAATAATCGAAAAATAATGCATTCTAGTAAGATTTTTATTATTTATTAATCGACCATACTTTCATCGAAGTATGCGCAATTATTTATTTAAATTCTTTATTTTTTGTTGTTTTGTTTGTCTTAATATCTACTTTAAAATAGTATTTGTATATTTTTTTTATTTAGTATGCGTCGTCGAAAATTTAAAGATTCATCTTTACATGATGATCAACGAATATGTACAAAAGAAAATTGTTTAACATGTTGTAAAAAATTTACTGCATTTATGTTTTCACGTGTTGGTCTATTTCTTGTTATGATTGGTTATGTTGCATTAGGTGGTTGGTTATTTCAAACATTGGAAGCTCGTAATGAACAAGATATGCGTCGTTCAATGAATGAAAAACTTAATACAACACTTTATAAATTATGGGAAGAAATTTTACGTGTTAATTCATATCCATATCATGATAAAAAAGGAAATTTTACATTAAATGCAACACAAGAACTTGAAAAATTTGAAATAACAGTTATACAACAAGTACAACAAGGTTTTGATGGACGAACAAGACCAGGTGCTGATCCAGATTGGAATTTTTTTGGAGCAATACTTTATGCTGTTACACTTATATCAACTATAGGTAAAAATTAAGAAAATATAACAAAAAAAAAAAAAAAAACATCACAATGAAATTTTATTTTAAAAAAAATAAAGGTTATGGTCATATAACAACAAAAACTGTAGCAGGAAAAATTGCTACTGTACTTTATAGTGCATTTGGTGTACCATTAATGATGCTTTTTGTTGCAAATATTGGTTCAACAATGGCAAAATTATTTGCTTTTGTATTTAGTCGTATAAAAAAAATTTTTTGTTGTCAATGGAAAAATAAAAAAAAACGAACAAATATAAAAAAATTTCAACAAAAAAATAATCAAATATCAATTAAAATTGATGAAAAAAAATCAAATTTAAAACAAATTAAAAATGATCATGATACAGTAGAAAAAAGTAAACAAAAAAAAAATTCTTTTTTTTGGTTTGATTTTTATCAAAAATTTTCTTTAGCTTTAATTGATAATAATATTGATCAAACATCAAATATTAATTCACCTTCTGAACATAAGAAAATTTCAATAACAGATACAAAAGAATTACCAGCTGATATTCGTTTAGATATGTTAACAGGAGTTTCAATAAATAAGACAAAATCTCATTCATTAACATCATCACCAAATATAATTGATGAACGATCAAAAGATGCACTTGTTCGTATTAATGAACTTATTAGACAAAATTCCGTCCATGATGATGATGAAAATAAAATTAATGATAATGATAATGTTTTATTAACATCAACTAATCAAAATGAACAACAAATATCTAATAATATGAGTTCAATACAATTTTATATTAATGAAACAAATAAATTAACAAATAATTTAGAAAATTCACTTAATGATCAAAATATTATAAAATTACAAAAAGAAAAATTAGATAATACAAATATTCAACAAGTAAATAATTGTTTTTTTTTTTTTGTTTCTTTTGTAAACAACAATAAGCAACTATGGAAAAATTTAAAAAACAAAATATAGTTAAATTAATAAAAATTTATTTTCGTATTAATCAAGTCACTATATTTAGACGCAAAAAAAAAGTAATTCCTTTTGATACAATAGTTATACAGATGTACGAAACAAGAACTTAGGTACATTCTAGTACTTAAAACTCAATAAATATCAAAACAAAATGACGTTATGTATCATCTTTTCCAGATACATAATAAGTACAAAAAAACAAAATATGATAATAGGAATACCGTTTGTTAGAATATTCTTTAGAGTAGATTATTTGTAGAACAAGATTGTTATGTAGACAATAACACATTACAATACACATCAACTAAATGAGGTGTTGATATTTCATAAGTTATTCTTTCAACACTTCTATTGTTTCTTTTGAATTCGGACTCAACACTCCATATTCCTGATTTCAAGTAAATTGTTTAAAATCAAACTCTTCAAATCACACGAAATATATGAGATACTTTTTATTAACATATTTTTCAAACAATATTGATCATGATATTTATAAAAATCAAAACATTATGAACTATTACCGATGAATCTTGAAATTTATAAAAAAAATTCAAATTTTTATTTTTGATAACTAATGTCCGCGCCAGAATTAAAGAGGGGTTAGTGTAAATTGAATAACTCATCAAGGACAACAGCTAGGGACCTACGGTTTTCACCATTCGAAAGAGGAAACCGGGGGACGTATTTTTTCACGATATTGTTTCGGACAAAATTGCTTTGGACACTGTCTTTTCTGAGAAAACGTAGAAATGGTATGCCAATACAATGAATTTTTATTTTGATATTCTCATTAGATAGAGGGACTTCAGATCTATAGTTCAAGATACAATGCAAATGGTTCTCTTATTATATTCTAACGTTGAGCAAATGGAATCATGTATTTACATGCGCAAATAATAGAGAATTTTGCTGATTTTTTGCTAAGTTTTCGCACTTTTTATCCTAATAGCTTGACATTTCGATGAAAATGAAATGAAAAGTAAGAAAGCGCATTGTATTTAGAACTATAGATCTGAAGTCCCTCTATCTAATGAGAATATCAAAATAAAAAGTCATTGTATTGGCATACCATTTGTACGTCTTCTCAGAAATGACAGTGTCCAAAGCAATTTTGTCCGAAACAATATCGTGAAAAAATACGTCCCCCGGTTTCCTCTTTCGAGTGGTGAAAACCGCAAGTCCCTAGCTGTTGCCCTTGTTGAGTTATTCAATTTACACTAACCCCTCTTTAATTCTGGCGCGGACATTAAAAGATAAGATCTTATTTAGGGGTCGACAAGCTCAGCTCAGAGGAACTATTCGAACAGATCTTTTGAGCTGAGCTGAACTGATGAACCGATTTGTTTGAGCTGTGTTCCCAAAACAGAACACTTTTGTTCCATTTTCGGGAAATAATTCCCATAAAAGAACAAAAGTGTTCTGCTTTGGGAACACAGCTCAGCTCAAAAGAGCTGTTCTGACAGTTCCTCTGAGCGAAACTGAGCTGAGCTTGTCGACCCCTAATCTTGTTAATTAATTAAACACTAATATATGTCAAAGATGAAATCCTAATATTTATTTATTTATAGGATATTATTTCTGAGATTCCTTCTATTACTATAACAACCAATGATGATATAAATAAAAATTCAATTGAAATAGATAATACAATAAAAAAATCTTCAAAACAAAAATTAAAACGTTCAAAATCTGAATCAACACATAATCGTAAATCACATATAAAAATAAATAATAATAATGAAATAAATAAATCTTCTCGTCGACGATTTTTTTTATATAAAAAAAAAAAAGAATCAAAAAAAATAAATGAAAATAATTCATTAGAACAAGAAATAAATCAAACAACAACTAGAAAATTATCACAAAAATCTCAAAGTTTTGATGAAAATTTACGTTCATTATCACCTCCACCAAATTATGAAGAATCTACTATACATAATATAACATCATTACCAATGGTAACATGGAAACCTGATAATGAATTACATTCGACAAAAATTCCATTTAATAATCATATTGAAATTGATGATGATAATAATGATGAATTATATGAAGATGAACAAATGAGTGTACCATTACTTGTTACTGTTTTTGTCATTCCGCTTTATTTAACACTTGGCGCTATATTATTTAATATATGGGAACATTGGGGTTTTCTTAATTCATTTTATTTTTGTTTTACAACATTAACAACAATTGGTTTTGGAGATTATGTACCTGGTGCATCAATAACGGTTTCTGCTGCTAAAGAAAAACTTATATCAGCTTCATTGTATATTTTACTTGGTCTTGTACTTATTGCAATGTGTTTTAATTTAATGAAAGAACAATTAAGTCAAAAAGTTAAACAAATTGCTAGTAAATGGGGAATTTTACAAATATAGGAACATTTCTTCGCTTTTTTTTTCTTTTTGTTGTTGTTTTGTTTCTTAATGAATATATCAGCGAAGTTTTTTTTTTTCTTCTTCTTCTTCGTTTTATTTGTATCTTTATAGTGCATAAAGAATAACATGATTAATAAAAATTTCGAGAATGACTTAATTTAGTTTTTCTTTTTCTTTTTTTTTGTTTTCATTCAATAAAACCAAATAAATTCAATTAAGATGAAATACTTATTTTATGTAAAATCCATGGATTATAATAACTAACATATGCATAAATATCAGAAAAATTTGTTTGATAACCACAATCAACTGTTCCAGACATAATACCAACTTGTTGCCAATAAACATTACCATTTTTATCAACAATTGATCGAACTAATGGACCACCACTATCACCAAAACATACAGCTTTTGGTGGAAAACCAGCACACATTTGTCCTAATCGAGTACTATCACCACTACCAATTAATGGTTCACATGATGAATGTGTACGTGGTACAAATTGTAAACGTACTTGTTGTAATTCATTTGGTCTTGTACGATTAACACTTTCCATAGCACCCCAACCTGTAGCAATAAGTTGTTGACCTTCAATTAATTCTTGATCAGTCATATCTTTTGGTGCAATACAAGCAAGACTAACTTGATTATCTAAAGAAATGGATGTACGTAAACGAATAACTGCAATATCATCATTAAGAGTTACATCATCATAAGATTCATGAACATAAATACGTTCAGCCATATATGCTAAACGTGGTGACCATGAACTAATATTAAAAAGGTGAAGACGAGCAATTACACCAATATATCGAGGTGATGAACCAAAAACACAATGTGCAGCAGTAAGAACATGTTGTGTTGTTATAAGACTAGCACCACAATATGACCTAGGTATACCTTGAGAAGTAAAAACAATTAGAAGTAATTGCCATGGCCATGAATTTGGTATTGCTGCTTCACCATTAACAATTTTTGATGTTATTTGTGGACTTATAGCTGGACAACCACATTTACATGGTTCGGGAAGAGTAACTATTAATTGATTTTCATTATTAGTAGAACTTTTAGTTGGTTTTCCAATTGTAAATAGTAGTGCAATACTAATAGTTAATGTTATAACCATTATTGTTACGAAAACTAATAAAGCAATAGTTAATTTTGGTGAAATTAGATTTGTCATTTGTGGTGGATTAGATGTAAATGGTCGTACAGCCATTATATTTGAGAAACAAAAAAACAAAAGTATTGAATGTTTCTTTTTTCTTGGTTTACAAGAGATATAAATACAGTAATTGAAATAAATCATTATTAAGTATCAAAGTTTTAAGGTGACCTTTTTTTTTTATTACATTGTATGATGAATAATGATCAAAAGATAAAAATGTCAACTTATTGAAATATCGACATCATATAAATTATTGTTTTGTACAAGATAAAGAATTCTTTATGTATTTATTTTATATGTGATTTTGATATTCATAAGAAAACAAAAAAAAAACCTTTTTAACAAGGTCAAAGATGAAAAAATGGAAAGACCTTATTTCAAAAAAAAAAATTATGCAAATTTTATATCTATTTGTTTTTTTTTATTCTGTCTAAGAGAAGTTTTAATAGACTGAATTAAAATTTTTTTAAAGATGTTACGTATGTCGACTTTTTCGACAATTTCATGTAATTCTTTTATTGACTACAATAGATATCCTATATTAAAGGAAATATTCTTGCTTCAACATTGATGAATAATCATATGTTAATACTAGTGGCGAAGCCAGGATTTTCTCTTGAGAGCATAGGCCCTAAATGAAAACTTATGGGTATTGATATTTGACTCACAGGATAAGTTTCTATCAATTAGCATTTTCCTGAGCCTCACCCTGGAAAATATTTCATAATCTTGATGATGTCTCATTTTCAAGAATGCCATCGAAAGCTACATTAGATTTTATCAATAGATTTCAAATTTTGTTTAAAAAACTTCATCTGTTCAGAAGTTATGGTGTTTTGAATTTGTGGGAAAGTTTTTTCGAAACGTTCTGTGCATTAAAAATGTCCTAGAATCTAGATGGATGAATTTTTTTAAACGAAATTTGAAATCTATCGATAAAATCTAATGTAGCTTTCGATAGCATTCTTAAAAATGAAACATCATCAAGATCATGAAATATTTTCCGGGGTGGGGCTCAGGAAAATGCTAATTGATAGAAACTCATCCTGTGAGTTAAATATCAATACCCATAAGTTTTCATTTGGGACCCATGCTCTCAAGAGAAAATCCAGGATACTGAAAAATCCTGGCTCCGTTACTAGTTAATACTATATTTTTCATATCTCGTATTATTCATAAACATTTACTAGCGCCATCTATATCGATTTGGTGGGTGACATAGGATCGTAACTGAAGATTGGTGAAAGCATTATGTGCATTGCGAAATAAACAATTTCAGTTCAAAGAAAGACAAAAGATTTGAGCGATTGTATAGTGTTTATTAAATTATCTGTTTTTTTTTTATTCATTATCATATTGAATCATGCTTGTTTTATTTGAAACATCTGCTGGCTATGCCATGTTTAAAGTTCGTTTTTTTTATTGTTTAATTTGTTCTTTTTGTAATTTCAATATTGTTTTTTTTTTTAATTTTTCAGTTACTTGATGAAAAAAAATTACAAGAAACTAAAAATTTATATCTTGATTTTGAATCACCAGAAAAAGCTGCTAATATGTATAATTTGTTTTTTTTTTTATTATTTTTAATTGATTGATTGATATTTTATTTTCTATTAGTTTAAAATTAATTCATTTTGAAAAATTTGAAGATACAACACAAGCACTTGCTGCAGCAACAGCAACTGTTGAAGGAAAAATTTCTAAACCATTAAAAAAATTACTTAAACGTCTTGTTGATCCAGATGTTCAAGAAAAATTACTTGTTGCCGATTCAACACTTGGCAAAGCTATTAAAGTTTATTTATGAAATAATTTTTTGTTTTTTTATATATGTATATTTTTAGGAAAAATTTAGTTTCGATTGTATATGTAATAGTTCTGTACAAGATCTTATGCGTGTTATTCGTTCACAAGCTGATAGTCTTATACAAATTGATGAAAAAGAATTAGCTGCTATGCGTATTGGTCTGGCACATAGGTATTTAAAAAAAAACAGAGTTAACTCAATGAACTTTAAGTTTGAATTTCAAAACTAAACAAAAAAAATTAACGAAGGGATATAACCTATGGAAACAAGCAGTGTTTCATCCAGAGGGAGCGCT